ATAGATATCTCAATTTTTTTGAAAAATGCACTTGCGTGGTTTCGCCAGTGGCTCTGCGCTGTGCGTGGTTTCGCCAGCGGCGCTGCGCTGTGCGTGGTTTCACCAGCGGCGCTCCGCCGTGCGTGCTTTCGCCAGCGGCTGAGCTTCGTGCGTGCTTTGCATTAGGGGCAAGCGATATTTCATAAAAATTGATGTAACCAATAATAAAAAATGATAAAGTCAGATTAAAATTACCATTTTCCTCATTGAAGTCCAAATTCTCAACTCTCTCACATTCACATGTTCTTATCATGGAGTCATCACAGGTCTATTGTAGATTTTCATTTTCTTCCTCACCTATATTCTGGGCAGGGGAAGGAGAGCTTGGGCCTGCTTCATTATTTAGTAAGTTAGTGGTGACAGAACTTCTGCTGCTAGATTTACCTAAAACATAAAATAGAGAAACTAATAAAATAGTAACACATAAGGTTAATTTTCCAAGAGATTGTAAACCAACCTGTTTCTTTCACTAACTGTACAGCATCAGGATTAAATGGCCACAGCCCAGCACACTGAAATCCACTGACTTCATTAGCTCGGGTCACGGTTTTTCTCCAAGCTGGAAGGGAACTGTTATAAAAACATAAAAAATGCCCCAAAACCAGCTAAAATGGTCTAAAATGACTCGAAACTAGTCCCAAGTAAGCCAATTTAATGCGTCAGAACGAAGAAGGGTGATTTTGTCCGGAAAAGTTCATTCGTTGTACTTTGAAAATTGGCCGCTGGCTGAACCCGTGCATAAGAGGTTTTGTACTTGTCACTTTTCACCCATTCCTGCGTTTCAATTGGAAACGTGTTTAGATTGAAACTACTATTGAAATGCGTTTTCTAGACCTTGAACCGAAAGTAGAGACCCCCCGGGTGCAAATTCCGGTCATAATATTTCCGGCCGTAACTCTTTCGGTCGTATTAGTTCCGTCCGTAACTCTCCTCCGCCCGTAAATTGGAACACTTTCCGGCCGTAGTCCAGACGCCGGGCGGAGGTTGTTCCGGCTGGAGAATGTTTCGACCGGAGGATGTACCGGTCGGAAGTTGTCCTCCTGGCCGGAGGGAGTTAGAGTGTTCCGTGAGCAGAGTCCAAGGGCGTGTTTTAATACGCGATAAAGATACTCTCCCGTGTACAATTTCGACGCGGAGCACGATGGTGATGTTTAAATTGCTCTATCTCTAGCCGTTCTCTTAGTAGCCCATGGTCAAAAAAAAACAAAACATTTTTTTATCTCATGCATAATAACAGTTTGCTATCAACCTGTAACACACGCCGTTTCCCCCTGTGACTGTTAGTTTAGGAGTTACAAGTCATTTACGGTTGACCAAAAAACGTACGGCCGAAAAGATTGGCTCCGGTCGCTAACCGTATCGATAACGACCGTAAACCGGAACCCCTCCGACCGTTAAACGCTTGACTACGGTCGGAAACTCTGACTCCGACCAGAAACAATGGGGATACGGTCGGAAATCGTAACAGATTCCGGCTGGAATGCCAAAATACGGCCGGAAAGAAGGAATACGGTCAGAAATCGTACACATTTACGGCCGGAATGGAACTTTCCGGCCTGAAACCTGGCCGGAATTTTCACCTGGCAAGACGAATTAATGCGTACTTACCATAACCCACCATACAAAACTCATTCTGAAATTTAAGGAACAGAAAAACCAATGCAATA